GCCTTTACCTCCACGACAGAGGCTCCGCCGAACCCCTGAGACCAGCTCATCGAACCCCTAGGGTTCGATCGGACCCAGGTTAAGAACCACTGGGCTAACCCAAGTTTAACAGAAAATATGCCATTTAGTGACAAAATTTGCAAAATAATGTGCAGAATTAAATATGGTTTTAGACGTACATGATTGAATTCGACTCTAGGAGAATGGATGGATGGATGGATGGATGGATGGATGGATGGATGGATGGATGGATGGATGGATGGATGGATGGATGGATGGATGGAGAATGGATTTTTATCAACAATGCAGCTGAACAGTTTAATCTATTGCTAAACATGTGTGTTAGCTAAATAACTCATGAACCAGTAAAAGCATTTCAATTAAACTGATAAAAGTATCACTGGAGTTATGTCGACGACAAATTAACTTTTGAATTCAATCCAATTCATTATGGCCACCACTGCTACGTGATCTTTGCAAATACAAGAATGGTGATAAGTTACTTATTTTTAGAAACTTTGAGCTAAAAGTTGGTGTGGACTACCACACWAACTTTTAGCTCCAAGTTTGTAAAAATAAGGGGAATAGAGTTAATAGTTAATAAAGCTGAGAGTCACTCCTGACACAAACTTTGTCTTTGTTTCAGCATTGGGGAACACGTGTTCCTTCAAGGTTGTCTGCTTCCATTCATTCTTCTTTCCCACTTATCTTATTTCTTTGAGGTTTTTCTCCTGGCAGCTGCATCACTAATGTCCTTCTGTCCCACCTCTGGACATGTCCAAACTGTCTCAATCTCACATTGCCTCGCTCAGATTAGCCTTTAGCTCACTTAGACCATTTTTTACCAAACTGAAGTCATTCAAAGAGCCGTCTACAAACTGTTTTTAAAAGATCTGAGCCTTCACTTTAACAAAATCACGTGTCAAACTCAAGGCTCGTGGGCCAAATGTGGCCTGCCACAGAGTTTTWTGTGGTCCGTGAGAGCTTCTAAGATGTCTTAAAATAAGCTGCTTTAAAACCACGATTGACCATAAACTACATCTCCCTGTAAGTAGTGCTGGGCGGTATACCGTTTTGTACCGAAAACCGTTTTTTATTTTTGTTATGATATGACTTTTCTGAATACCGGTGTAAGTAGCCTGAACACGTGTGGAACGTTTTGTCGCGGCCGCCAGTGAACTGTTTCCCCAGGGACATGCTTCCTCGCAGCACCGCTAAGCGCATTAGCATGCTAACGTTATTGTTTGAACAACTGGCGGTGGGTGGTGTGTTTCAGCCGCTTATATGGTCTGAAGTAAAAAAAAAAAAAAAACATCCGGTTTTCACCATCGCTAGATGTGTAAACAACTCTTCAGTAACCTGCACGGTTAGATTTATCGCGCTACGTTATAATGGAGAAGTTATTGCATGGAGACGCTAGCGTGCTTCTATTGTGAAAAGCCCGGGGGGAAGTAGTTTTGTAGTGTAGCAGAGTTGACTGGTGTGCAAGGTGAGTCGTCCTTTTAAGTCTTATTAACACGTCACGATAGACCAGATGATTTTTTCTCAACCCTTCACGATCGGACCTAAATGCATGATTACTGTCTACAACCAGGCAAAGAAGAAAAGACGTACAAAAGGAGGGAAACAGTGATAGAGGTACAGTAACAGAAAAAAGTCAATAAGCAAAGTTTGTACATTTTTTATCAGCTGAGCTGTGAGGAAAAAAATACCGTCAAATACCATGAAAACGGTGTAATTATTGAAAATACCTTGATATAAAATTTAGGTCATACCGCCCAGCACTACCTGTAAGTAACAGCATGTCACCATGCACAATCTCCCTTTTGCTGCTACTTTTGCTGAATTAGGAAGTGGGAATTTCACACTTACAAGTCGTAAATTTAAACTTGAACGTGCGTCGAGTGGGAATTTCCTGTTGGAGTTCAGAATTTAAAATGGCAGCTACTSACCACAACTCAACGGTGAGTAAAACCCTCTTATTTTAACTTTTGATGGTATTTTTGTTTTATTTATTACACAATTAGTCAGTCGTACACGTGGTACTTTTCAGTATTTATAAGTGTTTCAGTGTTCTATGCAGGAAATACCAGGTAGAGCTCATTTAGTGCTTTTTAGAGGGGCTCAGTCGTAGCAATGAGATGAAGAATGTGGCGTTTAGTCAAAGTTAAGCCTGAAACGTCAACGTTAATTACAACTGGCCCTCGGAGAAAACAAGTTTGACACATCTGAACTAAATGAAGAAATATTGGAAAAACAAAACAAAACCCAAAGACGGTATGGGAGTAATAGTTGTTTGTAACTATTAAAGCCATAATTGCTGCCATATATGTGAAAATTTTCAATGATTTTATTTGAATTTTTGCAGAGGTGAATCATCTGTGATAAAAATAACCACTCACTACGCATCAGTCACTAACAAAAACCAAAGCTAAATCAGCAAAGTCATGTTTTGTTGCTGACAAATACAAGTGGATTGGGTTTTATTTTAGACTTTTGCGTCATCATCTGTTAATTCAGCCATGTTTCAATTACAMAAGGACTTTACCAAGTTAGCTCCTTCTGTGGTATTTAAACTTCACTGAGCTCGATTCAAGAGCTCTGTGAGACTCTCCAATTGTTGCTCTGACTGAGAACACAGCCGCTCGAGTCAAGGTAAACTGTCTGCCGCCAGCGACGCGTTCACAAAGAATGAGAACGTAAATAAAAACGGAGAGAATTCTTCCATCGTTGGCGAGCAAACAAAACAAAGAGAGGGAGGAAGGGAGTGTGCGGGGAGAAGAGAGGGATTAAAAGAGAAGACTGAGAAGAAACGGGCTGTTGAGAGCTCAGAGGAGAGGGTAAATAARATGGCTGGATGACGAGAAAACAGAGGTAAAGAGGAAGTAATCAAAAARTGTGTGTGCGTGTGTGTGTGTGTGCGATGAAACAATGAGGACAGTGAAATAAAAAGGAAGGAAAAGCTCTGTTGGTTGCCTGCAGAACAGAACAAACTCATTTACAGAGTGGGTGCCAGACTTGAAAACAATTATCTGCCATCTCCGTTGCCTCTGTAGAAGAGTAGCCCGTTTTGTGCGGCTCTTTGTTTTTCTCAAGGACATATTCATTATTTCAGATGAGACCCATTTGAGTCTAAATAAAGACTTTCTCTCCTCTCTGTCAGATTTGGTGGCGCTGTGATGCTGCATCTGAGGGGATGTGAAAACACGTTTGAAAAGGAGGCTGATGAAAGCGTTTCTACGCCCGTAATGCATGTTCATTAAGTTTAAATTCTCTCTTTTTTTTATTTCCTCCTCGAGTCTGGGAGCTGATGTATGTTTGGTTTGTTTTACTGTTTGAATGTCGTTTGGCCCTCTGAAAACAGGCCGAATCTGTTGCTTCCTGCACGAAAAAGAGTAAAAAAAACAAAAAGCATAATCACCTCCAGGTTACAAGAAACCTCTGACAAACTGTAAACAAGGAGCCAGAAGTTTTATTTATGGGTTAATCCTCTCTCTGGATGAGATTTTGACATTGTTAGGAGAAAAAATAAATAAAAATTGCATTTGTTTGTCGCCTTGTTTACACCTCAGGTCACGGCGGAATCAAACCGACGCGCAGAAATAACCCGAGCCAGTTTCTGGTTGCATCTTACCTGCTTGTCTTTGCTGAAGGACCTCTGTGTGAGGAAATGAAAGA